GTAAGCGGTTGAAGTGTGGTGGGATAACTATAGCGTATAGACAAGGAATGTTAGCAGTTAAAGTGTGGTGGGGTAACGTTAGCGTATAGACAAATAATGTTAGCGGTTGAAGTGTGGTGGGATAACGTCAGCGTATAGACAAGGAATGTAAGCGGTTAAAGTGTGATGGAATAACGTTAGCGGATAGACAAGGAAGGTAAGCGGTTAAAGTGTGGTGGGATAACTATAGCGTATCGACAAAGAATATTAGCGGTTAAAGTGTGTTGGGATAACGTTAGGGTATAGACAAGGAATGTATGTAGACAAGGAATGTAAGCGGTTAAAGTGTGGTGGGGTAACGTTAGCGGATAGACAAATAATGTTAGCGGTTGAAGTGTGGTGGGATAACGCCAGCGTATAGACAAGGAATGTAAGCGGTTAAAGTGTGATGGGATAACGTTAGCGTATAGACAAGAAATGTAAGCGGTTAAAGTGTGATGGGATAACGTTAGGGTATAGACAAGGAAGGTAAGCGGTTAAAGTGTGATGGGATAACGTTAGCGTATAGACAAGGAATGTAAGCGGTTAAAGGTTGATCGGATAACGTTAGCGTATAGACAAGGAATGTAAGCGGTTTAAGGAATGTAAGCGGTTAATGTGTGATGGAATAACTGTAGCGTGGTGTGGTGGGATAACGTTAGCGTTTAGACAAGGAATGTACGCGGTTAAAGTCTGATGGGATAACGTTAGCGTACAGACAAGGACTGTAAGAGGTTAAAGTTTGGTGGGATAACGTCAGCGTATAGACAAGGAATGTAAGCGGTTAAAGTGTAATGGGATAACGTTAGCGTATAGACAAGGAATGTAACGGGTTAAAGTGTGGTAGGATAACGTCAGCGTATAGACAAGGAATGTAAGCGGTTAAAGTGTGGTGGGATAACGTTAGCGTATAGGCAAGGAATGTAACGGGTTAAAGTGTGGTAGGGTAACGTCAGCGTATAGACAAGGAATGTAAGCGGGTTAAGTGTGGTGGGATAACGTTAGCGTATAGGCAAGGAATGTAACGGGTTAAAGTGTGGTAGGGTAACGTCAGCGTATAGACAAGGAATGTAAGAGGTTAAAGTGGGATGGGATAACTGTAGCGTACAGACAAGGAATGTAAGCGGTTAAAGTGTGATGGAATAACGTTAGCGTATAGACAAGGAAGGTAAGCGTTTAAAGTGTGATGGGATAATGTTAGCGTATAGAAAAGGAATGTAAGTGGTTAAAGTGTGGTGGGATAACGTCAGCGTATAGACAGGGAATGTAAGCGGTTAAAGTGTGATATGAGAACTTTAGCGTACAGGCAAGGAACGTAAGCGGTTGAAGTGTGGTGGGATAACGTTAGCGTATAGACAAGGAATAATAACGTTAGCGTATAGACAAGGAAGGTAAGCGTTTAAAGTGTGATGGGATAATGTTAGCGTATAGAAAAGGAATGTAAGTGGTTAAAGTGTGGTGGGATAACGTCAGCGTATAGACAGGGAATGTAAGCGGTTAAAGGGTGATATGATAACTTTAGCGTATAGGCAAGGAACGTAAGCGGTTAAAGTGTGGTGGGATAACGTTAGCGTATAGACAAGGAATGTAACGGGTTAAAGTGTGGTGGGATAACGTTAGCGTATAGACAAGGAATGTAAGCGGTTAAAGTGTGGTGGTATAACGTTAGCGTAAAGACAAGGAATGTTAGCGGTTAAAGTGTGGTGGGATAACGTTAGCGTATAGATAAGAAATGTAAGCGGTTAAAGTGTGATATGATAACTTTAGCGTATAGACAAGGAATGTAAGCGGTTAAAGTGTGGTGGGATAACGTTAGCGTATAGACAAGGACTTGAAAACTGTATCAATATTGTATTAAATGAGAGTAACTATGTCAGCTGGTTCAGACTTGACACAGTCATATGTGGTGGTGGTGATGATGATTTATTGTTCGGCATTGTATACATACCCCCTGAAGGTTATAATCATTGTATCGGAGATCCGTATTCTGAAATTGAAATTGAATATTTAAGTCTATCAAATAACTTTAAATATGTTTGTCTCTTGGGTGACTTGAATGCTCGAACAGCAAGTAGCAATGATTTTGTTAATACTGATGAAGTAGAAGAAAGTGATGAATTGACTAATGATATACTGCAGGAACATGTTGATATGATTTTTTCTTGACAGATGCCACATATCAAAAACTAGCAATAGTCAAGATAGGCGAAAAAAATAATTCTGGAAATCGGCTACTTAATTTTAAGTTTAATGACATGTATATATGTAATGGTAGAGTCGGCAGTGACAAAAAAAGTGTGTAAGCTCACGTGGAAAAAATGCGAGTGTGGTTGATTATGTCATATGCTCCAGTTTGTTCGAGTTTGTTGATGATTTTGAAGTGTTGGATTTTAGCTCGCTACACTCGGATGTGCATTGTCCACTCTCGTTCACGATACATGGAAGTACTGAACAGGCCTCAGATTATACAAACATTTCTAATTACACGGAACGTATAAATAGATGGGAAAATACTAAAATACATGAATTTTCATATAATCTAGATTCTGTTCAGATAAATTCTCTTATCAATGCTATTGACGAAGCTCAGAATGATTGTAATCTTGACGTAGATATATTGGTTACGAAATGCTGTGAGGTAATGCTAAATGCTGTTAAGTCTACACTAGGTATACGAAAAGTTAGTAATGGCGGTAAATACAAACCCAGAGACAAGTCAAAACCATGGTTTAATAGAGAATGTGTTGTTGCCAGAAAGAAGTATCGTCTATATAAAAATCAGTACAGGCGGCACAGAATGTGAAATTATATTTTTTTTACAAAAACTTCTAAGAAATCCTACAGAAGAACTATGAATAAATGTATTCATTCATATAGACAACATGTGAGGTGAGGTCCAAGTTTAAGGAAAAGAAAAGTAATAACCCTAAATTTATATTAGGTTTGAAAAAAAGTACACCAAATTGTATGGTTTATGGTGAACTCGGCACATAGTTATTGGTTAAGAATGTTACAGTCTAAAGAGAGTAAATTGAATATTGTTTTGTATAATATGTTATATCATGTTTATAATGATGACAACAAATTAATTCCCTACTTGAAATGTGTACAAAGTATTTTTACATGAATGTGGACTAATATATATATGGAATTCACAGTTTTTGGAACATAGTAACCATCTATGGGTTAAACTTATTACACAGCAAATATCAAATGACCAGTTTTTACAAAAGTTGAGTAATGACATTTTTAATTCCTCTAAGTCTGTATGTTACAGAACATATGAATATAGTTGTAATTTTGAAAATTATCTAGAATTGTTGACTGAAAATGAACGAGTTGTATTGTGTAGTAATCATAAGATTATAGTGGAAACTGGAAGATGGAATAATATTGATTACCAAACCAGAATATGCACATATTGCGATACCCAAGACATTGGTGACGAATTTCACTACTTGTTAAAATGTCCCTTTCTGTCTACAGAAAGGTAGTTATATTTATACAAATACTACTATGTAATGCCAAATATTGTTAAGTTCTCAGAACTTATGAATACAAACAATGTTAAAATTTTAAGAAATGTATGCAAATTTATCAAAATTTTGTTCAAAAAAAGTATCATGATTTATCCTCCATATATATTACATTCGATATTGTATACTGTTGTAAATATGTTTTCTCTGTACATTTATAATTTTGTAAAGAGAAATAAAGTTGAAAGTTGAAACTTTGCCTCTCTCCTGTGTCACTCCAAGTCCTTCTGTGAATTTCTGTCTTACGTACTTAGCCGACTAGATTACTGATTAGGAAATGTTTTTCTTTATTTAAAATAGTTATATTAGTTCTAAATCTTATTTGTATATAAAGTGACGTCATCATCAGTTTGCAGCAATGTGTGATATCCAAAAGTTCAAACAACGTCAACAGATATTTTTTATATATATGTAAAATCTATTTTTTTGTAAACTCGATTTTTAACAGGTAATTGTGATGACTAGTTTGTTAATGCTGGATATAAATAAAGATCTGAATACATTCAACAATACAACAGTTTGTAGTATAAGCCGGGGTGAATACTTGATAAGCGATAACGAGCCCGGGTTTAGCTTACGGACAACAGTACGGTTACCTATGTGTCTAGTAGCCATCCATACGTACGTATGTATTCCAGGGAAAGATAACGTTAACATACTTCAGGATCCTAAACAATCGAAGATTTCTAATGTTTTGCATAACTCTTGTGGAATTGGCTACAAACAAAAGCAACCCCATTGTGTAAAACTCACCTTAAAAAGGCACATTACTCCTAAGTGTACACAAAAATGAAATGGTGCACCTTGTATTTATTGTTTAAAAAATGCTCTTAATAATTTTATGGTACATACCTCCGCTTAAGAGGGAAAAAAATACTCTGAATAATTTTAAATTAAGGGCTGCGGCAACCTTAACATTGAAAATTATTGTACTTCAACATGTAAATGTAATGCATTTTTTTTATATTAATGTATAAAATAATATTTAAACTATTCATAAAAAAAATGATAAAAATGTGCAGGTACATGTATCTTCATAATTGTTATCACTTTCGGACAATACCAATGATATCGGCCAGTTTATTTATTAATAATCCAAGGACTGCTGCTAAAAACTGAAATTATGCATTCGAAACTTATTTTTCCAGCATGACTATAGATTTGATAATAATTTCTAAAAAGAAAAGTGTACATTGCGGGACTTCATCTCTTTTATATAATGGAGATGAAATCAACAAAAACAATCACCAACAGTGTTCTGAGTGTCCTGACAAGCCCAGGATTAAAACACTGGATTTCAAATTATTTTGCTGTTGATATAGCCGACTGTGTTACCTGGTCAATGAAGGTGTCCTGGACCAACTGTGCTACAGTAACATCCAAATCAAAATGAAGGGGAGGTCACTGTCTCAAATTGGTGGTGTGCAACCTAATTCAATACCGGAAGTAAACATTGACATGTGGAATGACCTGCAGATTTATAGTTCGTATATGCATACAAGAAGATTATTGTGTGTACGGCTCATATGAGTAAATATTGACATTACTTATGATAACGCATATGTAATACTGAGTATTTTTAATCCGTGCAGACGCTTAAGCTAGAACAAATTCATTCAACAAATGGCTGCGGAAGACGCAGTGGGACAAGTAGTGTCTGACAATGGAAATCCGCCATGTCCACGAACGCTGGTGAAAATATTCTATCATCTTCAGGAAGAGAGAGTGCAGACCTACCAGCTGTTTGAAGAGTATGTATTCTTAAACGTGTGTTAATGTTGTGTTTTAGGGAGTTAGTTTCTCAACAGACAAAGTAATGCACTGTTTATGTATAAACATGAGAGTTGCCTCCCTTCAAGTAGACTCGAAACTAATATTGTATGGGAAGACAACCCGTGCGTCCATGCGGACAAATTTGGTGGGTGACCGTTCATACTTTTGCCCACCAAAGTTGATGGTATGATTCCATCGTCGGAAACCAACGTTCGATTGTCTAACACCACAAACATCATTAACTTCATTACAAACTTTTGAAACAATGAAGTGTTCCTCTAAAAGTTGTAAATTGTGTGCAACACTTAAAGGCTTAAAATTAAATCGGAAAATATTTTTTAATAAGTAAATTAACTCAATATGTGTATGCTACAATATATTTTCTATAAAGTTAAATGAGATATTTTTTTTCACTATAATGAAAGAACAGATGCCCTAGCTTTTGTTTTGTACATTATGTTGCGGGATACCCAAAACGGAACATCTCATTTTTTAAGTCATTTTATGAAAATAAGACCATTTAAAATCGCTTTCATTTATTAAAATATTCATTTAAACAATATTTGTATCCATGTTTAGGAATATGATACAATGTAGTATATATTTATAATGTCGCACTGTATCATTTCTCGGGAAATCATTTTATTTCATTTTTTTGAATTTAATGAATAAGCTGTGCAACATTTATAAGGTAGGAATATAAAAATTGCTTCAATTGCTTAAAAAGATGTCATTTTTTAATTTTGAATTGATACCATTGATTCAAGTTTCAGAATAAAAACACTGAACCATGTACTTTCGTCTAGTCATATGTTTCCGCCCGTTATGTATATAACCACGCAGCCATTTTATCAACCTATATCTCGTAACTAGGTGACCTGCTGGACACAACACAAGGATACTTTAGACGTTTGGCCACTGTCTGTAAACTGACTCAAAAATTACCGGAAGTTCGTCCGGAAAACAAGAATTAATCACTAATTAAAAAACACGCATAAATATGCAGTTTTGCTTAATGCACTTTTTATCTTGCTCAAAATGAACCCATACCTGGAAAAAACGGTGATATATTTCATTCATGAACCAGTCTTTTTTTGTATTCTGACAAACGTACGAAAATGTATGCAAATGAGGCCACATCTCCTCGCCGATTTTTCCACTTCCGAAGAGCAAATGAGACATTCTTAAATCGATAAACACTGTTTTCAATCAAACATAAACCTTGTTCTGCAATGCACTTCCAATTTTCACCAATTTTAAACAGAACAAAATGATAAATAACTTACCATCAACCAAAAACCGATATAAGACTGCAGAAAAAAATAACAGAATATGTTATAACTAAATAAATAAAACAAATAAATTTATAAAATTACATGAATTTGTTCAAGTTGACATATTAAAAAATCAATGAAAAATGTGAAATTTTCAAAAATTTGATTTGATAATTAATTTGACGATCAAAGATAAAAAAATGTTATATTTACAAAGCTTTTGTTCTTGCATGTCGCTGTAGAGAATTTCTTTTTAGTATATTCGAGTTATCTTTCTTTGAACACTATAATCAAAATAGACACACGGAAACATATGACGGCTACTTTAGACGGGAGAAATTTGTTAAAAGTGTTTTTTTCTGATTTTTTTAAAATACTGTTTTATGTTGTTAGATTTTTGTTTCCTTTAGTAGATTGTGTACATGTTTATGACAGTCATCCGTAATTTCAACAGTTTTCTGCCGATATGAGTACGAAATCGGGGAAACCGGTAACAGGAGGATATATATGAAAAGTGTTCCGTGTCAGGTGCCCTGATGTTAGCTAAAAGTGAATTGTTTGTGATGAAAACTGTCTATTGTCTATAGTGACAAACAGATATTTATTATCTCTGATATTTTTTGGTACCTTTTAGAGGTTTTCAGGCATATCTGAACGGCTCACCAAACTACAACTTTAACTTGTATAGACAACTAGTGCACGAAATCACAGAAACGTTCAACAAAATATCACAGGATATCATCTCCATTATACAACAGCTGGACACTGTCCACCACCGTGTCCCACTGGCCGGTCTGCTCCGCAAGGTACAGGAGGTCGAGCAGGTCAAACTGGAGAACGTAAGTTAGAAATAAAATCTCCAAAATGAATTTAACAGAGCATGATCAGTATATCATGAAATCGTAGAATCTATTTTTAATTTGATGTAATTAAATTTTACATATATATATTGAACTGGTTTTAAGTAAATATGTGTATTAAATCCACTTATTAATTCATAAGGATTCAAATATAAAACTGTAATACATGTATATATTAAAAAAATAATGCGTTACTCTATTGAAAAAAAAGTCTGCTTGGTAAATGTGTATATATCATTCGGAATGCAATTCATCTTTCTGATATTATAATATTTGAAACTACATTGCAAGCTTGAAAAAGACCTGTTCCGTTTTAAAGCAAATGGTACAAATGACCATTAATTTGGCTTCCATACCGTCTGTCATTTACGGTGACCCGAAAACTGTTTCCTAAACAACCCATGCCCAGTCATCCCCGAAATTTCAAGGGTAACCTCTCATAACGCCAGCTCTAATGCAATAGAGCTAACCCCTGGATTTTTTAAGATGATGCCCAGTCGGTCACTTAATCTACTAGTGGGACATATTAGATTTTAAACTTGTTCCTGATAAGTTTTGGGTTTCCTCAAAACTACAGGGATTGCGCTCACTTTCATTCTCTGCACAGTGCACAGGGCGTTAGAAAGGTAGCTTCAGGAAGGTTGAGGATGGATTTTAGGGAAGAGTGTTATTTGATTCAAACTCGTATATTTACATTTGCATGGCATTGCCACTATATAGCCTCTTTGAAAGCTGTGTCGTTGATGGGACTTTAATTACCATGCCGCACGAGACATAATCACCATGCCGCACGAGACACAATTCTTAGCGTATTAATTACTGACCGGAACTACAATATCCAATGTAAATAAACATGACGGCTGCTGAAATATCGCTGGGCATTGTGAGATTTGATAATGTCATGATTGTAAATTTATTTGCAAAATAAAAAATAAAATAAATAACACTTTTATTACAACGAAAACAAGACCAAGGTCTGCAATATCGTACAAAATACACATCGGTTGAAATCACCAATGCCGGCAATGGAAACAATTTTAACGCTCATGCAATTTATCAGAAATATCGTCTGTTACACTGCACTGATCAACAGGGGTTCGTTATAAATGTCTGAAATACACATATTCTATAGACCTACTGACACATATGTTACAGACCTACTGATATGAGTCACAGCACACATAAACATTCGTCATTTCAGACATTTGTAACGAACCTGTGCTCCGTCGCAAGATCACTCACTTCAAACGCTATCAGTTTCACGCGTCTCGGATCCACGGTTCCTCAGTTTCAGACGACATGTCAAATAACGATGCTGTTATAGAATCTACCGACTGTTGTCGGGTTCCCATACAATCAACAAATACATTCACGCCTGGATTCTTCACAAAACGAGCAAAGAGAAAAGTTCGAATTAACTTCCAAAAATAACTCCCTCGTGGAGGTCAAGGTCCCATTCACGGTGTTCACTGTATTTATCCATGCGCGAAATTTGTTCCGGGGGGAAAATCGAAACAATTTCAAATCTAACTTTCAGCTCAGATTTCTATTGAAAAACTGGAATCACCCTATAGACATATCATACGCAATTGTATTGATACTAAATTGTGGAATAAATTTGAAGTGTTTGTTAAAATGTCAAAGTACTACTTTGTTTGCCAATCAGCACACGACAATACGCTGTTCAAACTATTGAACGAAATTGTGTGGACTGTCGATAAGGCGGGCATTTTAATTTTAATTATAAATTATAAGTTAAAAAAGAACATAAGAGGCAGAGAAAACGTAAATATAAGTATTGCTAGCGCATTATGATTTGTTTGCTTGCAAAGCTGTGTCATTCAAATAGATCATAAATACCATACAAAAACAGTTCAATGCTTAAAAAAATTAAATGCTATGTACCATGTTTCTGCATTGATGAGAGCTTAGTTAAAGCTGAGTTAAAATGGTTGATAAAGAGTGCAGCTTAATGTGTGACAGTGTTGTTGACAGACGGCCAAGCTACAGATGACACGCCAGAACCTAGTGGATCAACCTACAGATGAGAAACACAAAATACAGGACACCGAACTCAAGCAAAGGTAACTATGTGTATAAGAAGTGGGTTTTTTAAAATATTAATTATTGTAATTAAATATTATTTAAAAATCTTGTTTCATAGTAGTATTAGTAGTATTAACTAAATATAACCCAAATAATTGAAAATGCAAGTAATATGTGCTATTTCTTCAAGATACATATATATTCTAATACAGGTATTGTGACGTTGCAGACTCATTAATATCCGGATTTATCAGTTACCTTATTTCGAATTCATTAACTAGTATCTTTGTTGACATTCACTTTGTTCTATACACTGTAACTTTTTAATTCCATTAAAATATACTATTCTGCTGGCGAATGGTTGTCTTGTATGGGTTACATGGTTATAAAGCATATAAAGTAGAATCTGATTTATCTAGAGATGTAACATTTGGACTACACTGCTGTGTATCTTAAAGACTATCAGCAATATCACTCCTCCGTTAGAAAAAGCGCCTTTTTTAAGGTGAACTACGGCATGTTTGCTACAATTGTTTTTATAAAACATTCTTCAAATATTTATGCATAATACAGACGTTTTATTTAACGTGGGATATTTTCAACGATTGGTATACATCTTCGACATGAAAAAACCCTCCTTGGTTCCTATGTTATTTGTGCATACACCTTAACTACTGGCTAGTGATACATTGTAACGATGGTACTGTAACTACTGGCTAGCTGATACATTGTAATGATGGT